GCAGAATAATCTACCATTGATGTATTCTCATATTTTCAAACATCCATATGTTAAAGATTTTTTAAATATTTTAATCACAACAAGTTTTGAATATTCAATAATGTTAAACAAAAACATTTATATCTGTATTACATGTAAGACTGGCTCAAATTTGATTTGATAAATAAACTATCTAATGAACTACTTGATCTTGTAATAATATAAAACACTATTTAAGACAAAAATGACAATCAGATTTTAAAATTTCATTTTAACAACAACAACGGCAGATCTAGCAGTAGTCTCACGTCACACTACCGCTGTAAAAAAAACCCGAAAGACTTACTCTATCACATAACTTTAAAAGTCACAAAAATACTCCAAATTGCCAAAAATTTCAAAATGTGACACCCTTTTAAAAAACTTGTACCTGCCATTATTTTTGTTTCATTTTAACCATAAAATGCTCTGAATTTTTTCAGGATATGGCTTTTTCTACATTTAATACGACAAAAATTTTGACAGTTATTGCTTGGAATGAAAAACACATTTTTATTATGTTTTTCAAAAAAATTGTCAAGTCGTTTGTGAAATAAACGTTGAACAGCAACCAATAAGTTTAAATACACTATAAGAGATAAACTTCAATGGAAAACGTGAAAAAAGAACAATACCCTAGAGACACCGATTACTGAAAAACGCATTTTAGCAATTGCAACATATGTAATTATCAAATCTAGGCAAAAAGGAGGGCAAATTATGGCATTACTTATACCAACTTGCATTTATTAAGTCCAAAAATTTGTAAGAAATGTTTTATACCTTTCTGAACATTAATAATGTTCTCATACGAGAACATAAACATCATTTCTGCACCTGCTGCTCGATATACTGAAAATGCTGCTGAAACAGAATTGTTAAAATAGCATCAGTTTTCAAAATGGGAAACTGTGGATCACATGACTGTTTCCTTTAAGCAAAAGTGAGATCCGGTCAACAAATTAATATCACAAATGCAAGTCGTAATTAACAGATAATTACAAAAATATTGCACATACTATTCACCTTTATTTTAGAAAAATCGGTGATATTACGATTACAATTCAGAATAGCAAATTAAGATAAATAACAAAATTTGCTATTCTGAATTGTAATCGTAATAAATAAATTGAGATCAATAACAAAAACCATTTAATATATCCATATTCTTTTTTATGCATAGTTTAACAGGCGGACTTGGATTAGCTAAATCAGTTAGCACCTACATGTAATTTTTGCAAATAGAGTCCTATATGTATGAACTTTATAAACTTCATTACTTAAACAAAATGATCGATTGGGGTCAGTAAAAATGACCATTTTTACTCAACAAGATGGCATGTTTTCAACCTTCAAAAGATTATACAGTTTAGACTTTGAAGTAACGTGAAGACGCGAGTTTCACAGGTGGCCATAGAATGGTAGATATTTGTTACCCAAACGGGGTTTTCAGATCGCAGTTTTCGAAACGGCTTTTGTAAATCTAAAGGGAAAATTGCTGAAATTTCCTGTTTTTTTCTTTTGCTTTATTAAAGGTGTAAGCTGCATGGCATGCGTTCAAAATGAATAATTTAATTCCAGGATTCGGATTGTAAATGCTAAGTTCCGAGTGACGAGTGAAAATATAAAATATGAAAATGCTTAGTCTTTTAATAGAATTTTGTCAACAAAGCATTAAACGAATAGGGTTTTAATGATTATGTATTATTTGTAAATTTAATAACTTAAGACTGCTTCAGTATGATTTGTTTCCTTCAAGGCATTTTAAAGGACGTGAATAAGTAACATAAATCACCAAGTGTACAAAATTACGTGAACAGAGTTTTCAAGGTACAGGGTACCTTGTTTTGCGTCTTTTAATGAAAAAGTCAAATTGAACTTCATTTGTGATTTTTCTTGGACTAGAAAAAAGTTTTCGTTTCTGGACATAAGATTTTCATTGAAATAAACATCTAGTCACAACTTGCTGCCTTGCTGAAGAATACCTCAAATACTTTTACAAGCGTCACGGAGGCAAACGCAGACTAATAATTATAGTTAAAAACATTTTTAAAGGCATAAGGGGCGGTTTTATTCTTTGGCGATATAAAACAAATTTTGTTACTTATGACTACGCGGTGTAAAATATTCCTCGTTTTGATTTTTTTACAGTAGGCTTTACAGTTTGGACGTAAAAAATCATGGTATATTGGTTTGACTGAGCGTTTTTCATTGGACAACATGATATTGGCATTAACCATAAATGAGAAATGAAATTATTTTCAAGCATTATTTGCAAATTGGCGTTAGCAATTCGCCCCTATGCCTTGAAAATGGTTGCTTTCATAATCAGTCAAACAGAAAGCAGTGCAGCTATTTTAAAACTAGGTCACATGCTTAAATGGACGGAGGTATTTAATTATATGGCAACGTGTTATTTGTGAAAGCATGCCAAAATTGGAAATGAAAGTATATCACTAGACCTTTATCCTTTTCTTCAATTTCCAGTTGTAGCTACACGGTATTTTGCTATACTAAAATTACTGTACATAATTTTATTACAATCCATGCTTTCACTAAAATTCAACAGCCAAAAATTTAAAAGAGCCATTCCACAGAATTTTCCCCATCTCGACGATTTCGCATTAAAAACTTTACTGCCCCTTCTAATTCTACCGATTTAGTTTAAAATAATGTGTAGTCAACATGAGGCACAACTGCAATTTTCACTGTCATTAGGCACGTGATGAAATGAAGAAGGCATGGTCGACACAAAATAGTACGTGGGGAAAACATTTGTGGATGGCATTTTTTAAATGCATCAAAGATAAGTTTTTGACAAATACCTAAAACCATAGTCTTAGAACGTTTCGTTAAATTAGTTAAAACTGAAATATCCATATACTTAGTATCCTGACCGGCTTGCATCCACTGCCTGGTGTCTCAGAAACTGAAGAGGAAGAAGTGACATCTCTTCCAAGTTCCAAGGGTTCAGGTTTCGAATGGTCTATTGGGGTAGAAGGTAGGGAGAGCTAGGTGACCGCCTTTTCTTTTTATCAATTACCATAATTTGACAGACAAAATCTGATGAAAAATGTACTAAAAAGTGAAGCACAGTAAGCTTTTGTTTCCCGCATATTTCAAAACACACTAGATTAAAATAATTACAGTAAGCTTCAGACCCTAACCCCTCAAAGTAATATGGCATTATGTAGGTCACTGGCTATCCTTATATGCTTATCTACTCTATACTGCGTGCTGCAATCTGAGCAGCTTTTGCCAGGTTTGACAAACCAAACTGTTCTATAGCGCCATCTGGAGGGGAACAAAAATGATCATTTCTGCTGCATTCGGTAGCTTAGCAGATAGTTTTAGTGTGTGTGTGTGTGTGTGTGTGTGTGTGTGTGTGTGTGTGTGAAACACAGAAATGGCATATGTACAAATAAAGTACTAGTCATTTATGAAAATTTCAGCAACGGTACAAACTGTGCGGACATCATCTCTGCTCACGGTCAGCTGTCATTTTTGATGTCCCAGCAGGCATAGTTGCGTTGGATCAACGTTGAAAACAGGTTGATACGTAGAATTGCCGTTGATCTATCTGAATTCAACGAAAAATCAACGTTGATCCAGCCACGTTGAAACACCGTCATAATGGGACGTTGACTCAACGTTGTATTTTGGTCAATGACACAACCTTGCAGTTATGGATTGTAATTTAAAATATTAATTATTGAAAATGTGATACTTTGTTTATCAATATTGTAACTAAATTTATCAAAATAATAATGGTTTTAAAGTAAAAGTGACAGTTGTTTTGTGTCTTTAGTAAACTAGTGAATTTTCTTAACTTGTTGCTGTACATGTGAGGGAGTTAACAGTTCTAGGTAACCTGTTATAGATAGACATGTTGTGGTGACTGTGACTTTACATATGGTTGTAGTTATCTTCTTATATATAAGAAAAGAACTATAAATATTAATTTAAACCTTGGAAATTTTAACTTAAAGGCCATACATTTAAATCATACATATATTTAGCCATCAAACGTCCAACTGCTAAACACATCCAGACTAATTTCCCGCTGGGTGGGGTTGATATAACATTGTTTTCTGACGTTGATACAACTTTCAAATCCAACGTTTATTCAATGTCTTCTCAACGTTATGGTTCAACGTTGTTTCAACGTTAAAACAACATAATTTGCCCGCTGGGGTGTTAGTTACATGAATCCAAAAACCATATCATGTAAAATTACCTTAAATGCTACTTCAGTCTACCATAAAGTAAAAATGTAATGATTAAATAAATGAACTCATTTTGAGAATAGAATCGAATAGATGGAAAGTGGATAGTAAAACGATCAAAATCGGCCAAGTCCTGGTATTTGAAAACACACAAAAAAAAAAAAAAAAAAAAAAAAAACATGCATGCACCGTACTGATTTATTTCATAACATGTAGGAAAACTTCAGATGATGAAACAAAACGCCGACTAGTTTATGCAAGACGATCTCTGGGGATAGTAAGCCTCTGTCGATAGAGCAGTACCACCAACTACTTCTGCAGTGGACTAGGACCTAATAGCGGCATAGAGGATGAGGTCAGTTTGAACCTATACCATCGACATAATCAAATTAAAATTCGCACACACCCTGCAGAGACATACGACGCATCGTGTAACACGTGTGCCCCCCCTCTGGAAACCGCACATCCTTCACAACGCCTCTCCATACAGTAATTAATGTCTGAAGTACATGTAACTACCATGGAATGGAATTATGATTAAGCAGCTACAGGGTGAACAAAAGATGTGAGGGACAGTAAATATACAATATATACAGACACATACAGGATCTGTACTACAAAAGACATGACGGACAGTAAATATACAATATAAACAGACACATACATGATCTGTACTACAAAAGACGTGACGGACAGTAAATATACAATATATACAGACACATACAGGGTCTGTACTACAAAAGCATACACAATTCGTCAGAATAATAATTTTATTTGTTTGAAAACACAAGATTTATAAAATGAAGTTCTTCTTCAAACTGGATGCATCCAATGAAGATTAAATATATGAAATGCATGTTGTGTATTATTTTAAAAAACATCATCGTATATTTTTTAAAATAATAGTTACTGTAGCACCTTCACATTGCTTTAAAAATCACTCAATGATACAGTTGTCTATGTGATCATTCAGTGCTTGATTTGAAAGTCCCTTCTCAAATTCTTTCCCACATATAGGGCACCTTGCAGCTTTGAATGTCTTGTTCTCCTCTTTCTTGGTTACAGCTGCAAAAGAAGCCATGATGTTGCTCTGCTTCTGTCTTTTTGGAGCCTTTGCATTGGGGAGATTTGACAAGCTAATTCTTTTTCTATTTTGAGAAAATGATGACCCTCTATCTGAAGAAAAGGAAAGGGGGATATTTGAAGTAAACTTGTTGGAGTTTGCAGCTTCACTACTTTCATTTACTGCTGAGCCACCATCAGCTTCAGCAGACAAAGCTGAAAATGATGACTCCTTCCCTTCTGCTTCTCCAACTAATCCACTCTCAGCTTTGCTTTCAGTTTTCAATACTGATTGGAAGAAATTTTTGATTGTCACAGGTGGTTTCAAGGCTCTTGCTAAGGATTTCTGGTTTACAGGCGTCTCTGGTTCTACAGTGGAGTGATTGATTGTTGGATGAGTTGTATTTGAAATTCTCATCACCTGACCACTGGCGACAGACTGAAATGAAATAATCATCTTATGATTCTATTTCTCTACCAATGCATTGATCAATTGAGTCATTAATGAAATATACTAAACAGTACCTTTATTGCCAAAAAAAAAAGTAAAATCAACATCATATTTTCACGTATTTAACTGGCATGAAAATAAAAAAAATAATAATTTCAAAAAAATTTGTTTTTATATAACATAATTCCACCAAGTGTTTGATATTCATCTATGGTGAAAAAATAGCCTGTGAAAATAGATCCTATCGGTCAACAAGGGTCTACAAAACTATTTCAGAAACAATCATCAGTGACTTTTTGACTTATTTACAGAATTTCAATGGCTCTCCTTCCCTTATACTGACATATGGCATGGGGCCAGAAGAAATGCTGCAGACAGTAATATCGAAACACTTCCAACTTACAAGCTGAGACTGGGACAAGGTCTCCACCAATTTCTGCTCCTGCATCATTCTCTCCGCCATTGGAATGAGGAGTTCTGGGTAACGAATACCAACAACACGTTCCCCATCATCCAACTCCACTCTCACAACACGTATTGAGGACTCCACCTTACTGTAATATTTTGAAAAATATATTTTCTGACTTACTTCTATAATAAATATCAATTGCAAGTTTTAAATGTACAGAAAAAAATAATAAATAAAACTTAACAAATCAATAAATAAATATTTTTTTAAGCAAAGAAAGCTTAGTCCTGAGAGTAATGAAAGGGGAAAAAATAGAACAGAGAGATGGAGGAGGGATGTACAGAAAAAAATAATAAATAAAACTTAACAAATCAATAAATAAATAAATATTTTTTTAAGCAAAGAAAGCTTAGTCCTGAGAGTAATTAAAGGGGAAAAAATAGAACAGAGAGGAGGAGGGGAGGGAGGGAGGGATGGAGAGAGATGGAGAGAGGGATGGAGAGAAAGTGAACCATACCTAAGGTGAAAAGAAGCAGCATTTCTTGTCAACACTGTCTCCAGGTGTGACATCAGTGTGACAATCCCACCACACAACAGGTGAAGTTTATAGCACCTGCTGCCCACTGAAATCACATAGAAATCAGAGCAATGAAAATTACTTAATTCAAGAAGTGTTCATTTTTTAAGGTTGCAATTTCTTCAAAACACCAACAATCCACTTAATGCCATCTACACCCTATACTACATACTGTAACAGTATAAAATTCAATGAATTGTAAATGTACATGGCAACAAACACCTTCACATGTTTCTAAAACTTAAAAAGGATTTACTATAAAACTTTGTGTTAGCCCTATCTGTCATTAGCAAAATTTCAAAATTCATTTCTATGGTGATGTTAAATTCTCACTGACACTGCCTTGGTGGAAAGAAAACTGGCAATCAATAAAGTTAGGGGACCTAGGCAATGTATTGCAAATGTTCTCATTAATACCAAGGCATACATATAAACATTACCCTCTACCAGGGCCGCAGTTATTATTGTGGACATATTTGCTGAGGCGACCCTGTTACGTACTGGACTAGTACATTAACATTACAGTAACAGTACCTGAACAAGTTGGTTCATTCTTGCAATGAGGTCCATGTATACACTGTGACTAGTACATTAACATTACAGTAACAGTACCTGAACAAGTTGGTCCATTCTTGCAATGAGGTCCATGTATACACCGTGACTAGTACATTAACATTACAGTAACAGTACCTGAACAAGTTGGTCCATTCTTGCAATGAGGTCCATGTATACACTGTGACTAGTACATTAACATTACAGTAACACTACCTGAACAAGTTGGTCCATTCTTACAGTGAGGTCCATGTATACACTGTGACTAGTATATTAACATTACAGTAACAGTACCTGAACAAGTTGGTCCATTCTTGCAATGAGGTCCATGTATACACCGTGACTCAGCATGGGCATACTGTTCCTTCCAGTGCTTCTCTGAATAATAAAGAGGATACAGAATTAAACAAAGACCACTTAATCAAAAAGATGCATTTGAATACAAGGGCTATGAAGCTTTTCACACACACAAAAAAAAATTATCTTTTTCATAATTGGTTTTTGTAAACAGCAATATTTTTCCAGGCACTTTGTCACCTGTGAAACACTCTGGATAAATAATAATAACAATTATCATAATTACCATTATTATTATTATTATTATTATTATTATTATTATTATTATTATTACCTGTGAAACATGTATGTATGATACACTCTGGATAAATAATAATAACAATTATCATAATTACCATTATTATTATTATTATTATTATTATATATGATTAACATACATTTCTTGGGAAGGTGTTAGTTAATGTTATCTCCATTTTGAAACATTTTGATGAGATTATCATACTAGTAGTTTCCTTGCTAATGGGAACATATTTGATTAGATTATCATACCAGAAGTTTCCTTGCTAACTGGGATAATTTTAATGAGATTATCATACCAGCAGTTTCCTTGCTAATGGGGATATATTTGATTAGATTATCATACCTGCAGTTTCCTTGCTAATGGGGATAATTTAGATGAGATTATCATACCTGCAGTTTCCTTGCTAATGGGGACATATTTGGCAAAAAGTTCAGCTTTCTCTTCATCAAAATATGACACACCAGTATTGGGTCTAAAATCAGAAATTTCAAGAAAATTACATCATTTTACCTTTAGAGAGCAATAACCGATTTCCAATCAATAATTGATCAAATATAATCCTCATACATGCACCATTTCTCTTTCTCAGTCAACTTTTAAAGAACTTTCAGAACTTTTATTTTTTTATATTTGATTTTTCCTAATATTTCCTTAGGCATTTAAGTGCCATACCTGGCAACTTTGAAGAGATGAGTTGATGTATCTTTCTGTGTGGCTAAAATATACAATTTCTTTCCTCTGGTCTCTCTCTTTGAGGCGTAGAAGCCGTCGTGTGGACCAGAATGGTGTTCAGCTCTGGTTTTGGCTCGTTCCCAGCTCATCCCTCTGTCAACACTCAGTACAAGATGTCTGCACCAAACACAAAGATACAGACTGTGAAATATTGTGAAATGTTTTCGTGTCACTTGTAAAATGATGGAAGTAAAAATGGATTGTTTCTTAATACTAAATGTGTGAATTTTTTTACCAACAGGATGACTTTTCAACTCTTCATCAACAAGTTACCATCTAATGATTAAGCAAGGGCCTCTTCTTTCCATATTTCTAACACCAACATTTTATTTCATTCCTGAATATATTTTCCTCCCCTTTTCTATACTTAAAACAAATATTCCTACCTTCCAAATTACAAATGTTCTGAGTTTCAATAACCTACTTTGTTGTACAAGTTCCTGTGTTCACTTCCTTAAAAACCTGCCGGGGTTCCCCGACTATCTGCACGGAGGCCGCTGTGATGTCAAGCAGCCCCTCATTGTACCTGCCTTCCTTCTTTGCACTATTGATGGCCGTCTCCAGACTTTCTGTGAAATAATTGAAAGCCTGCAAAAAGTGTAGTATCTTTAAAGATTAACATCACAAATATCACAGCAAATTAAAGCAAAGTCTATACCCAAGCTCTGATGTAAATAATGAGCTTTTCCAAAATGATGTTATATCAACAGTACTGACAATACCTTAATTGGAGATAAAGAGAAAATCAATGAAATTTCCAAGAAGACAAACTTGCTATATACATATGTCAAACATACATTGTATTCCTTTAAGAGGATATTTGCCTATCAAAATAATTTACATTCAGTGCCTACATACCAGGTTCTGTTTCTGGACAGCCAGTCCTAGAATTCTATTCAGAAATCTTCCAACATCACCAGTCTCTTTCTCTTTTACTGGAATTCCTGCTCGAATGGCATCTGCATCCACCATTCCCATGAGAACGAGACTCTCTTGCATTATTGCATTAAATTGAGCAAAGTCAAAATTTTCCTGGGTTACTTTTGACAGGGAAACCCCTTGGACTAGTTGTCTCTAAAAATAAAAGAAAGCTAGGAACATTATTAAAAGCCTTTCTAAATCTTTTAAACTAGACAAGAAAGGTCTAATTAGCTTGTTACTAATTTAATTAACTTCCATAACAACAGTTGCTAAGCAATGCTTTGAAGTTTTTGGCACTACCCTTGAAAACAATCAGCATAGTCCAAAGAACATTTGTGCCAAGTTTCATGCTTTTTCCACATTCTGAGCGATTTGGACAATATACAGCACCAATCATCCTGACTAAAATAGACTTACTGTAGATATTGCATGGTACATTGCACGTAGCGCTCCTCTCCCATAGGGTGTGTCAAAGTTAAACTCTGTCAGGTCAGCCCCAGTGGCAGCCCGCCTGTCTCCCTTGGTTAGAGCACCTGCCATGTAAAGAACAATGGAATATTTGGTGGAAAAGAAAGAAGAGTTCACATTGAAAATGAGAAAAACTTCAGAAAACTGCATGGCATCACAGGAATGGCAATGTATGTTAATAAAACACCTACCCCACGTTGTTTTCAAATAAATAAATAAAAAAGTTTTTGTACAGGTAAACAGAAAATCCAGATTAGATGTCCGAATTAGATGTCCAAGAAGACATCATGTATGCTTGATCCGATTTCGACAGTGCTAATGGCCCAGATACTCCCAGCTGTCATCAACCTGCAGCTGATAACTCACATCATCAACGCTAGTTTCACTTCTGGTTCTTTCCCTGACCAACTCAAGAAAGCTGTGGTTCAACCTTTATTAAAAAAGCCATCTCTTGACCCTGATACACTTGGAAATTACAGACCTGTGTCTAACCTCTCGTTTCTATCAAAAACGGCTGAAAGGGTCATTGCTGCCAGACTGGTTGCACACTTAAGAGAAAAACAATCTTATAGAGCCAATGCAATCTGCATACAAGGCCAGACACAGTACTGAGTCAGCTCTACTTAGGATTAAAAGTGATCTTTTATGTGGAGTGGATAAACATTCAGTGGTTCTTTTAGTCCTGTTGGACCTATTGGCAGCTTTTGACACTGTTAATCATGGACTACTTTTATCATTTCTTGAAGATTTTATTGGTATTAAGGACTCTGCTCTTAGTCTTTTACGTTCTTATTTTACAGGCCGGTCACAGCAGGTTATGATAAAAGGCATATTATCAAATGTTTCAGAAATAGCTTTCGGTGTGCCACAAGGCAGTGTTCTAGGACCTCTTGTTTTTTGCATGTATACCTTACCAATTGGGGCCATACTAAGACATCATAACATTGGCTATCATATTTATGCTGATGACACACAGATTTTTACTTGTTGCAATCTAGAAAATCCAAAAGAATCTATTGATATATTGTCTAAATGCATTGACGATCTTCGCAGGTGGCTGATTAGTAATAAGTTGAAAATTAACGATGGAAAGTCTGAACTTTTGGTAATAAGTCAGCCACATAATCGTATGATAGCACAACAAATTCAGCTCAAAATTGGATCAAGCATTATTAAGCCAACAACCTATGCAAAAAATTTTGGTGTATTCTTAGATGGATCGCTTTGTATGAACAAACATATTGCCAGTGTATGCAGGTCAGCGGTTTTTAACATTAGGAACATAAGTGCAATTCGCAATCAGTTCGCTGACTCTGCTGCAGCCACAGTCATAAATTGTTTAGTTACATCTCGATTAGATTACTGCAACTCCATTTTATATGGTTGTCCAAAGAAACAAATTGACAGACTGCAGCGCATTCAAAATATTTTGGCCAGATTATTAACTCGGACATCCACAAGCATACACATCTCCCCAGTTTTAAAAAGTTTACACTGGCTACCTCTACAAGCCAGAATTTTATTCAAATTTTTAGTTTTTACTCACAATGCTTTTTATGGATTGGCACCAATCTACATCAATGAATTAGTCAGTCACTATGTTCCAATGCGAAATCTGCGGTCTGTAGACCAATTGCTACTCAACCCAGTAAAAATGCGATTAAAAACCTACGGTGACATATCTTTTAAAGCTGCAGGTCCAAAGGAATGGAATCTATTACCGCTGGAAATCCGAGCAATTCAGTCTACCAAACATTTTAAAAAAGAACTCAAAACATACCTTTTTAGGAAATATTTTGATTAACTCTTAATTGGTTTTATAAATCTTGTATTAATTGCATTTAATTGTATGGAATAATGGCTGTTTAACCTAGATTTTATTTATCATATTTTATGTAGTATTATTTATGATATTTTATGTAAAGTCTACTGAACATTTTAAATGGATTTTAGACTTAAAATAAATTTATTATTATTATTATTATTATTATTATTATTATTATAGAAAATTATGGTTTTTAAAACAGGCCAACACCCTCAAGAGAACCTCAAACATGCAACACAGGCATAGGTTTATACTACTGAAGGTACCCAGCTCTCAATGTATTTAGAATCCTCACAATGAAAACCATCAGAAGTTTAAATCTTTCACTGCAAGAAGTCAAATTTTAAAAAATTCAGAAACTTAGGTTACTAACGATAATGGAATTACCTAGAGGGTTTAACAGCCAGAATGCAGTAATTGTGAATAAAAGTAAAGCTTCACTTCTTTTCAAATATGGTGTTATCATGTTCATGAATATCAAAATTTGATTGCTCCAGCAATATTATATAGAGCAGTCATTTTCAACTATTTCAGTTCCATACCTAATGACTCCTATTACAGAGCAGTCATTTTCAACTATTCCAGTTCCATACCTAATGACTCCTATTAAACAGCAGTCATTTTCAACTATTTCAGTTCCATACCTAATGACTGTAACCTCCTGGCTACAGCTGCAGCAAAGCGTCGCTCCCCACCCAGATTTGTTGTAAGTAGTTTATAGAGAGGTCCACTACTTTGATTTGACCTGTGTGACCTCCCTAACTGCTGCACCGCCTTGTCTGCGCTCCATGGAAGCTCCACAGTTAAATGGATTCTGCGGCGCTGATTGGCTGCTCTCAGGTCAGCATGAAGTGAAATTCCTGAAATCAGCCAATGAGGGATGAGATAACAAACTAGTAAAAGCTTCTAGAAGATGGCAAAATTATAGTCATTACCATATTAGTGAAATAAAAAATCCATCTGTGGTGAACTGGGTTTTTCATTGTGTAAAGTTGTATTTCTTCAGACAAGATTTACTTTTTAGTCTATTCCACTTTTTCATCCTCTCAATAAAGCCAGATTGTCTGCTCAAAGTGGTCAGCTGGTTTGGAGGCAGTGGACCTCCTGACCTCAATTAAAGAATTACCATTTCCACTCCCAACACAACTTCATCTTACCTGTGCTAGCAGCATCTGAAATAATGGCCACTAATTTCCTTCCTTCCATGAATGCATTTCTCTAAACAGCAAATATTAATACATTTAGTTTAAAAATAGTTTAAGCAAATTTGATTAATAAAATTGATAACCTGCTTCTTTAATAATTTGTTAATCCTAAATTATGTATTACGTAATAATGTACTTTAAAGCATAAAACTCTAAACAGACAAACGCACCTAGATTTACTTGATTTTTATGCATATTTAAAAAGAGTAAACAATCTTAATAACAAGGTATAAACCTGACCAAAACATAATGTCATTTATTTTGAACAGACATACACAGTTAATAGTATTACCTCTCTAACATTTAGACTGTCCATTCCACCATTTGAGTCAAGGTCTCGTACCATTTATTTTGAGCAGACATACACAATTAATAGTAATACCTCTCTAACATTTAGACTGTCCATTCCGCCATTAGAGTCAGAGTCTCGTAGCTCATAAGATGGGGTCAGTGTGTGACATCTACGAACCACTCTTCCTCTTCTTCCTGTCATCTCTGCCACACTGTCGGGACCTCCCAGTTGATCAATGATCTCATCAAGAGGGCTATGATGAAAATATAGAAAAACAAGTTTTATTTTTTCTCTTGGGTATAGATGGTAAAAAAGTCAACCGTTTCTTAATTAAGAGACTAAACAAGTTTTTACTGGTTTCCACGTCCCATCTGATCCCACATCCAATATTCAATCATGTGATCAAGTAAATGTAAAACACTTCATCTCATAAAAAACAATTTACTTTTTTTACCATATTAAGATTTACATAAATAATTGGATAAAAATTAACACAGTCTGGAATCATACAATTATAGATATCAAAATCCAGAAATGACCCCACTTCTCCCATTCAGAAGAGAAAGGGGTACATGTACATATAATAACTTAAACATGTGCCAAATTATTGCAAATTGAAGACACATTGAAACTTAAAATGAATTTATATCTTAAACATGTCTTAAGACTGCAAAATATATTCATCATATATACAAATTTCACAATAAAAACTGGTGAAAGCTTGTGGCACATTGTTTAAATAATGGCAATTTTGACCATGCTTTAATTTACTTATTTATTTATCACTAAACTTTTAGCTATTCTCTCAAAAATACCTTATATTGAAAGAATAATGTTAGAAAGTAAAATTAAAGCACCTGTCTGGAAGCTTGATTTTTTTAGAAAAATCCATCAACATGGTTTTGGCAGTCACACTCCAGTCATCTGAGCTCCCTTTAGCCTGAAAAAATAAAGCAATCACATTTTAAAACATGTACAGTTATATGAAAA